TTCCGGACCCGTGGATGTAAATAATGTAATTTTGCAATCATAAAATGTAAGCAGTATAAATGTCGCAGGAAGGTAAAGAATGTGTCATTTTGCAAACACACTACATTCGCGAATATATGTTTTGTTAGCTTCTGTACAAATTGGAAGACTTTGCTTCTAAATGCATGTAAATAGTATGAAGTAATTCATATGCAATATCATATATATATATATATATGTATCTGATCCGGTATTACTTACATGCTTCAATATCTTCTTTGTATAATTTTATGTCAAAATAAAGACAAGTATAGATAACTGTTTTAACTTTACAATATTGGGCACGTGTGTGAACCAAAACTCATCTAGTATTATCTAGAATTTTCTTTATCTTCTACATAAAAGGTTTACTCTTTTACGGAGTTAATCAACAAATAGTCATCAAACTTATATTATTTTCCTAAAAAAATCATTAAACTATTTTTTGTCACAGGCACTCAACTTATAGATAATATCTTAAAAATTAACTATCGTCACATCTCATCGGAAAACTACATAAGCAAAGCCGAAAAATCATGTTAGCTCGAATTACCTCAATCCCATTTCTTTTTGTCACAATTTTCATGCAAATCACGCACAAACTTATAATATATATTAAATTATTATCATTCATGCCATTTCAAACAAATCATGGAGAGTCACAACGAGAGCATTCTGAAGCCCCAAACCAATCACCATGTAACTGTGAGATAAAGAGAGATTGCTTTTTCAATTAAGATGATTTTAGAACAGAAGTAATATTTCATATATAGTCGTTGCCAATAGTTGATCTAAAACCAATCTGTTCAAGAAAGGAATCATGACGAATTGAGTTATTTGTTAATACCTTAAATGTAGTAACAAAGTTCTGATTCAAATGTCACAGTATAACTAGTTCTTTTACTCTACAGATTTGGTTTTCCTCTGAATCACGCCACTGCTCTTGCTATGAACACTCTTTTAAACTTTACACTAACACTGATTTCATTCTTATTGAAGATCAACCATTTTCTTGCATTTTTTTTGGGATAGGATTTGGGTGTTGTTTGTCACTTTAATACTTCCTATTTTTCTAGAAATATTTTACATATTTTTAGTTATGAATGTAATTGTATAAAAAGGAAAGGAACTTCACAAAGAGAGCAACAGAAAAATGGAGTTAAAATCATATATTGGAGGTAAAGCGACAATGGTCCTATTTTTATATAGTCCTTCGTTAAGACCAACTGATGCTAAGAACATTTGAGTCGCTTCTTACTTTCTAAACAAAATCTTTTTAGACATTTATGTTTGAGTTATTCATGTATTTATAAAATATATTTCATAAACTATAACTATAAAATATATCTACATTTTGTATAATTTAAAATATATCTATAATAGTCTTAAAGAAAACTACTTCCTTTATTGGGGAAAAGAGTTACATTTCCACTATGCGTGCCTTTTAAGTGCTAAAATTAATTTATTACAATTTGTTACAAAAACACAAAAGATTGATAATGTACAAAGCTCGAAGCTTCCTTCGGTTACGGAATTTCTTCGTAGTGACTCCCTTACATGTCTCATTTCAGAGGGAATTCGAAATTGCTTTCACTAGTAATTTCACGAATAAGTTTTCGGTTCTACACATACTTCCCAAAGGAAAAAAGGGAAATGCTTGGCAACTAGTGTTTAGTACTTAGCATAGTAAGCTCGTTGGAACGACAACAACCCCCCCACAATCCATCATTTTCCTCCTATTTTCTATGTTTTATCACATATTATTTTGATAGCTTATATGAGAAAAAATAAATGACTTAAAGTTTGGAATTTCATGAATAAAAGCAAGTATTCATTTGGGAATTATTTCCTCCGTCCCACTTTATATGACTTTAAACATACAATTTCAAGTTTTTTGAAATAAAATTTATATATTTAGAAATACATAAAAGTACTATATGTTATAATAACTAAAAATTTAAAATATTTACTAAGCATATGAAAAAAATTACGATCAAAGAAAAATTCTTTTGACTCTCCAAATAGTAAATACTCCATCCGTTTCAAAAATATTGTCATTGATTGACTTGACACAAACTTTAATAAAGAAGAGAAGACTTGTGAGATACATGATTTTAAATAAGCCATAGTATTTGTGTGACTATAAATACTTCCTATTAAGAAAATATTTATGAAACGGACTAATAAAAAAATAGTGTCAATTGTTTTTTGAAATGGAAAAAGTATAACATATAAAATAGGACAAAGGGAATAGGTGAGAGTAGTGGTGGAAAAATGGCTGAAAGAAAATATTTATCACCCATATTATTCATTAAAAATGGGTTGGATAATATATTTTTTTTAAAACGGGTCAAATATGAAAAAGAATCATATTGTCCAATTAAAAAATAGATAACTAATGGGTTTAACTTTTACATTTGTGAAGACTCAAATTGGAGATTCTCCAAGTTTAGTATATTAGGAATTCTCCCAAAATAATTATATTCAAGAAGTCACAGATAATATGGATATCCATATTATCCGCCGGTTAATTTATTTTTTATTCGTATTAAATATGAGTTGGGTCGGATAATTTATCCGTTTTTGCATTACCCATTTTCGACCCGGCCATATCCGACCCGACCATATTTGTCACCCCTAGGTGAGAGAAGTGAGATAAGGGAAAGAGCGTTATCGGTGGGAACCTTAATCAAAGATGATCTTTGTTCGAATACTAGGAATGAATTTTTTTTCTCTATAGGATACACTTCCCCTTTAACAGCCATTACGAGTAGTGAATTCGGTGGCGGATCTAGAGCATTGTATATGGTTGTCGGGAACCCAGTAACTTTTGCGTAGACCATATATTTTTATTAAGAAATTATTAGTTTGAGTGCCCTTATGGATTACTAAAGAACCTGATTCTTTACCGTGTTCCTTAAGCGTAAAGTAAATAAGCAATAAAATAAACACAACAATTTTACGTGGAAAATCACCCAACTCAAAATGTGCAAAAACCACGACCTATCACATAGGATTTTCAACTCCAACTCCCCTAGAACAATAAGCCAAAATGTATCAATTACAAGACTGTAATTAAATACTCTCCAGTACTCCTACTACTCCTATTTCATTCACAAATTACTCTAACTTGTAAAGCAAAATACTCACTCCAACTCACTTAATTATTTGTGACACTTGATTACAACTCAATTTCCTAAAACACATTCACTAGACTGACTCAGGAAGAATACAAGGCAAGTACTCAACACAAGTAAATGACTTATGACTCTTTAGTTAATGTGTAAAAGGATAGTTCAGAAGTCCAAAATCAATCCTATTTAAAACACAACTTGAGATCTTCTAGGAGTCCTATTCGTAGTCAGCTTCCTCTTTGATATGACTCCTACTGTTCGAAGGATTTCACAAGCTTTAGGACTTTTGTCTCTGACTGAATTATCCATATCTTCTTGAGCAACGTCACTTATCACTTATAGCAGACTTCTTCCACCGAACTCGGACCTGAGTAACTTTAAGATAAAGTTACTATCTTGTACAAACGTATAAGTATCAATCATGAGGAGCTGATTCTTTCTCTTGAGAAGCTGGTTCTTCACAACAATTAAGCAACTACGTTGAGAACCTGGTTCTTTGAGCATTTAGTCACACTTTGTTAATCTTCAAAACTTCAATACTCAATAAATTCTCCCCTTTTGATGATGACAAACTTTGTACATAGCAGAACCAGGTAATCACATCAAAGAACCAGATAATCACAACAAATGACAAAGAACCAGATAATCACAACCCACAACCTTCCAACCTTATCTTCCCTTTTTGGCATCATCGAAAACACAAAAAATGTTAGACATTAAGCATAGATAATGTAAGATTCAAGGCCAAACATGCTACAACATAAGCTTAAGAAAAGGCAAATAGACTAAGTTGATGATCCAATATAGTATAAAGTTGTAAAACAGAGCAATATGAGACACTAAGTAGTACCAAAATAAGCCTAGAGCCTTGTCTTTATCATTAGAACAGAATAAACTAAGCATACTGCAAACTATTCAGACTAAGACAAAAAAAAAAAGATAAGGCATCACTGGAATAGCAAAAGAACTAAGGACACTGGGAAGGAACAAGGTCACGGGTGAGAAACAGGGGGGTCAAAGATTTCACAAGGGTCACAATCTGTTGGGCATGAGCCTCTCTATTTCTTCTAAGTTCTTCCCTGAGTTGCTTTGTTTCCTTTCTCAGCTCATTATTGTCTTCACGAAACTTGGCATTCTCTTCAACAACCAATTCCAACCTCTTACTGAGCTGCGCAACCCTACTGCTCCCAGGTAGAATAGCAGATCCTATGGCTCCTCTATCCTTGATCTCCTCATAGTCACACTGCTTGAGGGTAACAACATCAAAAACATCATTGTGGTTTCCAAACTTAAGCTCGGGTAAGGAAATGCTGAGCTTGTCAAACAACCCAATCAACATAAAACCATAAGGCATAACATGCTTGGGTTTGGAAGTATCTGCAGCTCTTGCCATGTGCTGCATCATCAGGCTAGGAAGATTGATAGGTCTACCAGTGTCAAGCAGCTCCATCACAGCCATGTCCAGTAGAGTAGCTTCATGCCTTCTCTCAGACCTTTAAAGAATGCATGAGTTGACAAAATGAAATAATAATTTGTGGAAGGGAGTCATATCAGTCTTGGACACTTTCTGGGGAGCATCTAGGTCAAACTTTTGGGAGAACTTCCTGGTGACCACAATTCCAGTGTCAACATCATTGTTTATGGCTGGCCACTTCTTCTTCAAGTAATTGTCAAATCCAAAGGAAGAGATATTCAGAAGCATCCCAACTCTTCAGCATCAAACTCCATTTCAAAGCCACATACCTTACTCTTGACTACCTTCCCATAAAATTTTAAGTTTGCATAGAACTCCACCAAAGCAGGAACACATACTGGGGGGAAAGCTTTGACAAACATGTGCTTCCACCCCTATAGCTCAAGTTTTTCAAGCAGTTGAGGCATCCCCTTCTCATCAGTGTTTGCAAGAATCTTCCCATTCAGCACTTTTCTGTTTCTGAACTCTGTGAGTTGATCAACTGCAGCTAGCACAATCTTTCTTGTCTTACCCCTACTGACCCTTGTAGGAGAGGTAGCAGGCCTGGTGACTTTGACACCCTTTCTATTTGGTGTAGCAGACTTAGCTTGCAAGGCAGAGTCAGACTCATTTTCTCCATCCACCTCAACAACAGGTTCCACAATTGAGACCTTCTTCTTTGGCTTCTTTGCACTTCTAGACTCCTTGATGATTTGTGCATCAACAACCTTTCTTTTACTCCTTGTGAGAGGAGTTCTGGCAGGAGGAGCCACTCATTTCTTTGTTGAGACTGCTGACTTCATAGATTTCATAGGGGTCTTCTTAGATTTCTTCCCTACCTCAGATAATGGCACATCATCTTCATCGCTGCTAACTTCCTCATCTCCGGTGAAATGAGTTATCAGAGACCTAGGTTCTTGAGCCCTTGTTTCTTCAGTAGTTTCTTCTGAAGGGGCTATGATAATACTTTCAATTGTCATGGAACCTTCAGATTTCTCACTCACATTCCCTTCTTCTTCCTCACTTTCTTTATCATCCCCTTCACTCCCACTCACCTTTTCTTGATCCTCACCCTCACTTTCAGATACCTCCTCTTCTTTACTATGATTTTCTTCTTATGCAGAATCATTAGCATGTTCACCTATTTTATCATCTGTATCACTCTCCTTCTCATCTCCAGATGCTCCCTCATTCTCACTTTTCTCTTCTTCATTGACTATGTTTTGAGCATCATGCTCCTCATGAATGTTCACAACTTTTACTTCTTTTTCACCCCTATCATCTTTCTCATCCTCGGTCCAACTAAAAGAAAGGCCATAAGAAGCCTCCTTTTGCACATGTTCTTTACTTCCTCCCCCCTTAACCACAGGCTCCACAGCCGTAGCATCTACCTCCTTCCCCAGATCCCCATCATCTTTTTCTACAGTGAATTTCTCCACTTGTGCCTTCTCACTCATGGGTGGGAGAGTATCTAGGGGTGTAGTATCTATAGCAGACACTAAAACATGTAATTTGGAAGAAGGATATTGTACTTGATCAGTAGTAGCTGGCACTGATTTCCCCTGAACCACAGATTCCCTGGCTACAGTGTTACCATACGTAGCAACATCATGCACTTTCTTGACAGATTTTCTTGGAGTAGCTTTGACCTTTGTTGACTTAGAGGTATTTTTCGCAGGAAGCTCAGGTTCATGGGTGGTTGTTTTTGGAGGAGGGGATACAGTGGAGGTGGTAATGATAGGAACAACATGAACAATAGGAATAGGGGATGATGATGTAGGTATAGTGGAGGATATCAAAAGAGAAGGAGCAGGTGTGGGTGTGGGTTCCCTTGATGACTTGGCATTTTTCTTCGATTTGGGCTTCATGATTTTGGGTTTTGCTTCAGCCTTGGTTGGTGATTTGGCTTTAGAGGGTGTTTGATTGGCTTTAGGCATGGTGATCGGATGAGAGACTCGAAGAAGAGAAAGAGAGAATTAGTTCTTGATAATTGCTTTCGATTCTTGCTTAGGGTTTGGGAGAAGCAATAAGGTCTGAGAAGCCGATCATAATAGCCCTTTAATGGCGTAACTCCCGATTTGACTGGAAGAGAGAAGGTGACCGAATTTGAGTTCTAACGGGACTCTTATAATGATTACTTTAACTGTTAGAATTTCAGGAGTAATTGATCTCTAATTACACTAGGATTCCCCCTTACTCTTTGACTAGAAAATGATTGGAAGTGATGCCACCAGAATTAGAAGTCCGAGTATAGCAATAATTTTAGAATATAAAGTCGTAGTGACTTAAGACAGTATGGCACATACCTGAGTCAAAGAACCAACTCCTTAGCAACTCCTTATTTGTTTCTGCAATAAAGTTTCAGCACTTCATATTAGTATCATGCAACACAGTTATCAGCCAGATTTTCCAAGCAAGTGTGTGATCTTAATACAAGCACAAAGCTGAATCAAACACATTGCACTTAATTATTTTCATCTTATTATGCCTTTTCTAGCCAATCATTGGGTTCAATTTAGTGGGAAGAGTTGATTAGACCTAGTTTTAGTCTATTCCTTTCAAAGTAATCCCTACTCAGAGCTTTAGTAAAAAAATCAGCAATTTGATCTTCAGTTTTCCAAAAGTTAATTGAGATATTCCCATTTTCAACATTGTCTCTAAGAAAGTGATGTCTAATAGTAAAGTGCTTGGTTCTCTTGTGCTGACATGGATTTTAAGCAATGTTTATAGCACTGGTGTTATCACAGAAAATGTGAACACAATCAACAAATATACCATAGTCCCTTAGCTATTGTCTTATCCATAACAACTGAGCACAGCAGGAGGTTGTTGCCACATATTCAACCTCAGCTGTAGATAAGGCCAATGAGTTTTGCTTTTTGATTCCCCAAGATACCAGACAAGAACCTAGAAAATGAGCTATTCTTGAAGTTCTTTTCCTGTCAATATGAAAACTTGCATAGTCAGCATCAGCATAACCAACTAGATTAAAGCTATACCCTTTAGGATACAATATAGACAGGGGTTAGGGGTCCCCTTGAGATATCTTAATATTCTTTTGACAACCTTCAGGTGAGATTCCTTGGGATTTGCCTGAAGTCTTACACATAGTCCCACATTAAACACAATATCAGGCCTGCTTGCTGTGAGGTATTGACCCAATCATTCCTCTATATAGTTTCTGTTCCACACTTTTTTCTTCTTCATCAAGGTCCAGCTTTGTTGCAATTGCAATGTGTAACGATCCGACCAGTCATTTTAAGCTCTAGCGTGTTGATCGGCGATTTGGGGACTTGAGTAGCTACACTTCATGTACTTGTACGTGTTGTCAGAATTGAATTTCGGGAAGTTCGGATGAAAAAATCTCAATTCAGAAGCTTTAAGTTGGAAGAGTTGACCAAGGTTTGACTTTTGAGTAAACGACCTCGGAATCGGGATTTAAAGGTTCCAATAGATTTTTATGATGATTTCGGACTTGGGCGTATGTTCAGGTTGAGTATCGGGTCGCTCGGGAGCATTTCAGCGCTAATTATGAAAGGTTGGCATTTTGAAAGTTTTAGAAATTTCCTAAGTTTGAATTGAAGTGGAATTTGGTGTCGTCGATGTCCGTTTGGAGTTTTGAGCCTTGGAGTAGGTTCGTATTGTGATTTGTGACTTTCACGCAAAATTTGGCATCATTCCAGGATGTTTTAGTAGAATTCGGACGTGCTCGACGAATTTTGATTTTTAAAGAAAGGTTTCGATTGTCGATTCGTAGTTTTGATGTTGTAGGGCATGATTTGAGGCTTTGACTAAGTTCGTATCATATTTTGGGATGTATTGGTACATTTGGATGGGGTCCCGAGGGCCTCAGGTTGAAAACGGATTTAAATTTGGATTGAAGAAATGTTGGTTTTGGCCAAGTGCTGGTGCGACCGCACCTGCGGAAATTTGGGCGCTGGTGCGAAGTCGCTGAAGCAAACTTCTCAATGCAGAAGCGGGATAGGGGTGCGTGGGGAAGGTTCGTAGAAAAAATATTTGGACCGCACCTGCGATGGCGCAAATGCGCCTTCTTGGAGCGTAGAAGCGAGGGAGCTTGTCGCACCCGCGATGACGTAGGAGCGGTATAGATTCCGCAGGTGCGAAGGGGTGGGCTCTAATGCTTCTCTGTAGAAGCAGAGTTTTGGTCGCACAAGCGACGCCGTAGGTGCGAAAATGTCGTTGGGCAGAATTGTTTTAAGAACGAGATTTGGCTCTTCTTCTCTCATTTTTCACTTGGATTGGCCGAATTTGGGGAGCTATTTTGAGGGGAGTTTCATCGAGCATCACGAGGTAAGTGATACCCACCTATTACAAGTTAAATACTTGCATTATATATAGATTTTAACATGCAAATTCATGAAAATTAGGGGAATTCAAGAGAAAACATAGAATTTATAATTTTGGATTTTGACCCCGATTTTAGAAGTGGAATTAGGAATAAACTATATATTTGAGTTCGTAATGTTATGGGTAATATTTTTCTTCGATTGTTTTTGAAATCCGGGCACATGGGCCCGAGGGTTGACATTATCGACTTTTCGAGCGGAGTTGAGAATTTTTATAAATTGTTAAATTGTGGGCATTGGAATATATTTTGATTAAATTGCACCTTGTTTGACTAGTTTTGAATTGAGAGGCATCGACTTGAGGTGTTAGAGAGGCATTGGAGCCGGTTGTGGAATTTCGGAGCAAGGTAAGTCTCCCGTCTAACCTTGTGAGGGGGAACTTACCCCGTAGGTGTTATATTCTTATATGTTACATGTTGTGTGAGCTACGCACATATGAGGTGATGAGTGTCCGTGCATATTCTAGAATTCCTGATTATGTCCGCGTAGATTAGGTTCACGCCATGTTTTAATTGTACTATTTGAGTTATTCTTGTGTAATGATCCGGTCGGTCGTTTCGAGAGCTATAGCCCCGTTTCCCCTATTTCTGCTTATTTATGTGTTGTTTAGCTGTGTTGAGTTGTATCAAGTTGGTAGGTTTGGGTTCGGAGTAGTTTTGGAGTGAAATGAGACACTTAGTCTCTTAATTAGAAAGCTAAGTTAGAAAAACGTCAATCAGAAGTTGCTCTATGAGTAAAAAAATTCGGATTTTTATGATTCGGTTAGCTTCGTTGGGTGATTTTAGACTTGGGAGTGTGTCAGAAATGTAATTTGGAGGTCCGTGGTAGAATTAGGCTTGAATTGGCGAAAGTTAGAAATTTGGCGATTTTCGTCGGTAGTGGAAAATTAGGTATCGGGGTCAGAATGGGATTCTGGATGTTGGAGTAGGTTCTTAGTGTCATTTGTGACGTGTGTGCAAAATTTGAGTTAATTCCGAGTTGAATTGATATGTTTCGGCGCGAGTTTTTGGAAGGCAAAAGTTTGAAAGTTCATTTAGTTTGATTTGAGGCGCGTTTCGTCGTTTAAATATTGTTATGCATGATTTGAGGCCTTGAGTTGGTATGCTTTATGTTATGGGATTTGTTAGTATGTTCGTACAGGGTCCCGAGGAGCTCGGGTGAGTTTCAGATAGGTTTGGGTTGCGTTGCGCTCGTTTTTCTTATGTTTCGATGTCGTTTCTTCAAGCATAAATGGTACCACATTAAGAAAATGAGCTCTGATTTTGTTTTGATTGAAGAATTAGATCCGTATCATAATTACAGAGCCATAGCAAAAAGAATCGTCGAATTTGGGCATCGTATGAGGAATATATGGTCATTTTACTAAAGAATTGGGTTGCTAGATTTGTCAGATTAATTACGAAATTGCCACTGCATTCGTATTTAAAAATCTACACGATTAGCAAATATTAAAACCTACATATCTCTTTCATTATAAGGTCAAATTGAGTGATTCAAAAGCCAAACTTGACTAAAATGTTACACTCAATCCATTGGAGGCATAAAAAGCGAGTTTCTGAATCGTTTGGCATGAGAAACGATGCAAAATAGCTGACAGAAAAATATATAAAACGAGGGTTTGTTCATTCGGTCATATTTTGAGTTGGGGAGCTTGGATTTGGGCGATTTTGGGGGCCATTTTCACCATAAGGATTGGGGTAAGTGTTCTCTACTCAGTTTTGATTATATTTTATGAATCCATCTTCATTTTTGGGATTTGATTAATGATTTCAAAGTGAAAATGAGGGAGTTAGGGTTTGAGTTTTGGAGAGTTTAAGTGAGGATTTGAGGGACCAAACGGAGTCCGATTTTGATGAATTTTATATGGTTATACTCGGAAAAGGACGAGATTTATTATTCTGCTATTTTTCACTGATTTCGAGATGTAGGCCCGGGGGGCGGGTTTTGGCCGATCTCGGATTTTTGGCATATTTATGTAGTTTTTATTGTGAAATTCGATTCTTTAGACTATGTTGATAGTAGTATTCTGATTTTTGGTTAGATTCGGAGCTTTATGAGAACGAGTCCAGAGACGAGGGCATCTCGGAATAGGATTTTATGTTGTTATGGTAAGTAACAGTTTTAACTCTGGCTTTGAGGGTATAAACCGGGAGAATTTGATATCGTGTGACTATTTGGAGGTGATACCCACGCTAGGTGACATGCGTGTGGGTGTATACCTTGAGGGATTGAGACTTGGTCTGTCTCGTGAGGCCTCATGGCCATTATATGTGTTTACGTAGTTAATTATTGTTCAACTTGTCTGTTTCATGTTAGAGATCATGCTTAGGCTTTATTCATTCTCACATTATTTGTACTCAGTCATAGAAATTATTGTACATGTTTACCTCAGTCTCTATTATTTGCTAATATGTTGTGATACTTGATGTGGGTTGTGTTCCCTTATTTGTTGATGATGATAAGGCTAGTGAGGTACATGATTGAGTGAGGCGGAGGGCCTGGTTGTGAGGATATTAATACCATAGCGCGTGAGTTGTCCGCGTAGCATGTGAGTTGATCGTGTGGATCCA